TATGCTTCTTGTTATGCCATCTGCATTTTTATGTGATAGAAACCGTTTTCCTTATGTACATGTAACTATGTCAACATTTTACTTTGTATTTTTGGTTTTAATTATCTGTTTAATCATTGTTGTTGTATTTTCATTTAGTTTTGGTCAAATATTGAATCATTTGGTCTTATGAAGGTACATGAATAACAAAAATTCAAGAATATATGCAAATTGTTTCAATTTATGCATTTTGTTGCTATATTTCAGTGTGGCTCGTGTTCAAGTTGTTGGACGCCCGTTGTCTCTATTTGGAGTTGAAATCCGTGAGGACTCTGAAAAGTTTGTGTTGAAGGCTTTGAGTTGTACACACCCTCCATTACCTGAAGAAACTCGGGAAGATGATTCAGCACAGGGTTTGGATTGCGATGTTGATTCAGCACAGGGTTTGGATTGCGATGTTGAAGGCTTAAATCAGGGAAGAAGGTTCGGCATAGGGATGGCAATGGGTCTCCACAGGGGCAGGGATCCCCTATCCATCCCCATCCCCGCTCTGAGTTGTACACACCCTCCCTTACCTGAAGAAACCCGGGAAGATGATTCAGCACAGGGTTTGGATTGGGATGTTGAAGGCTTAACCCAGGAAAGATGGTTCAGCATAGGGATGGCAATGGGTCCTCATAGGGGCAAAGACCCCCTCCCCATCCCCATCCCCGCCAATGGTGGGTATGGGGATTTCTGTAGGAATCTTTGGCGGAGGGTCAAAAATTGCTTTCGTCCCCGTACCTGCAAGAAATAATAGGTCCCGGTGAGTATTCGGAGTCCCGGCCAAATAAAATTATTGATGAGTTGAATTTGTATACATATTAATGTGGAATTATTGCCTTGATATTATTGATATTTGGATGAGTTTTATGGGATTTTTCTTAATTCTACATAAATCTCATTTTTTGTGCAGAATAGGACTTAAAGGCATGATAATAGGAGTTTTGGGATTAATTGAACATCTTATGCAAGTTGAGGGACTGAATTGTGAGAAGAAGGGTGGCTGTTTGGGACCTAAATGAATGAATCTTGAGTTTTGGGATTTAGGTGCTCATTGTATAAAAGATGGAGGATCAGATCTGTTATTTTACCATGGAAGAAAGTGTAGAACGAGACCAGAAACTCAACACGGGTGTAGTGTCGGCACATAATATGGGTGTCGATACCATGCATTAAGCGTCCAGAATCAGACTTTCTGTTTTCTGTTTTGTGTCGACACAGAATTTAAGGTATCAGCACTATACATTCACCGTCCAAAATTCAAGTTTCTTATTCTGTTTCAAATCTCACTTTTATTCTAATTAGGGTTTCTAAAACCTTATAAATACCCATCAAAATTTAGAGAGCTTTACGAGGCTCCTGGCAGTCCTCTTTTGGGCATTCTTGAAGATTAAAAGAGAGGATTCAACAATAAGAGACCAAGGATTGTAATTTTCTCAAATTGGGTTTTATTCTTCCTTATTATTCTTATGTTCAATTTTAGATTTTATTATTTTTATTATGAACTGATTTATTTTATTAAGGTTAGATGTAGCCTAATCAATTTAATATAAATTTTGTGATTTTATATTTTCAATTAAAATTATTTGCATGATGAGTTTATATTATTGAATTTAATGCATTGGAAGCTTGATCACCTTTCGATTGATTTAGTGATATATGCATAAACTTGAGAAAGAATTGCGTAAATTAGTCCAATAATAATATAAATCGGAGGTAATTAACTCACATGTGGTAGTGGAGGAAGAGAAGAGAGTTAGGAGATTCCCTTTCTTAAATTAGAGGTTTTCGTAGAATTTAATGCTCATTAGTTTGTTTAAAATTATATAGAGATATGATTAATTTAACAAATCATGACTTGAGAAAGCTACTTAATTAATTTAGGAAAATTCGTCATCACATGCAATAACACTCAATAAATTAGTTTTGAAAGTATATTAATTCAAAATTTATATTGATTGATTATGGTGAAATCAATACTTTAGTATCTCTTATATTGGTTAGGTTTATTTGTTATTTTTTTTTATTATCTTTAATTAAAATTTCTTCTTATTTGACTGTTCATATAAATTTAGATTAATTATTTTGGTACTTAATTAGACACAATCTTCGTGGATTTGATACTCTATTCATCATTATATTACTTGGAGCGAGTAGTACACTTCTTATGGTGATTTTAGTGCATCAATTATCACTTATTCCACTGCTTGTTAATTAAACTTTTCACTATTTGTTAATCAAAATTAAGCTCAATATGACTTTACTTAGACTCCATTGGTTTTTACATTCATCAAATAAAACTAACTCAAATAACCATATAAAGTAAAATTTTGAAATAAGGTGAACAAGCAGTAAATATACACAATAACACAACCAATATATACATGTCATTATCAAGCAAGTCGAGCAAGCAAGCCAACAAGAAGTTCGTTTTTCATAAAGAAAAAAGGTATAAACTGCCATATAAATCCAGCAAATCCAACAAAAGGTTTATAAAAAATAAAAGCATAAATTGAACTGTTATATATGTCTAGATTCAACAAAGTTGATAGAAAAAAAAAAAGCATAAACTGCTGCCATATATGTCCAGCAATAAATTCATTAAGAAAAAGCAAAGAGTCTAGGAAGTGGCACATGCGTATATATCCATCCAATCTAGTAAGGCAAACTCTATAGTAGCAACTTAAGCTAAATTTGATCAATAATTTTAAGTTAAGGAAATAACTTCCTAAAACAAAAACAAATACCCAAAATTAACAAAATTTTAGAAAAAATTCTTTATATAATAATTTATATAAAGAAATATTATTGTTTAAAATTGCCCTCAGACTCATCATCCTCATTATCATTCTCCTCCAACTCCTCAAATAGATTGAATAAATTCCTATTATTTTTAGAACCTGAATTTCAAACATATAAAATTCTTTATATAATAATTTATATAAAGAAATATTATTGTTTAAAATTGATCTCAGACTCATCATCCTCATTATCATTTTCCTCCAACTCCTCAAATAGATTGAATAAATTCCTATTATTTTTAGAACCTGAATTTCAAATATAATAAAAGTTTAGAATACACTAAAGTATTAAAGCACAAAAATTAAATTAAAAATTACTAGTTAAAAACACGAAAATTACTAGCTAGAAACACTAAAGCACTAAAGTACAAAAATTAAATTAGAAATTACTAGTTAGAAACACTAAAACACTAAAGCACAAAAACTATAGCTTCAAAAACTGGATCTAATTGATACATGGAGTTGGAGAGTTTGAAAAGAATCCGAGGCAGAGCTGCAGAGGAGGAGGCCACGCGACAGCAAAAAGAGGACAACCCAGCCTTGGAGCTGGAGGTGAGCGGTGAGCGTTGTAGACTTGCAGTGGTTGTAGTGACGGCATGGTGAGAGGCTGAGAGCTTGAAGGTAATCACTGACTCACAGTTGAGATGGCCACATGACAACAGAAAGAGGACGACCCAACCTTGGAGCTGGAGGTGAGCAGTGAGCGTTGCAGGGGTTGTAGTGACGGCATAGTGAGAGGCTGAAAGCTTGAAGGGAATCACCGAATCACAGTTGAGATGGCCACGCGACAGTAGAAAGAGGACAACCCAGCCTCAGAGCTGGAGATGAACAGTGAGCGATGGTGAGCGTTGTAGTGGTTGTAGTGACGGCACGATGAGAGGTTGAGAGTTTGAAGGGAATCACCGATTCACAATTGAGATGAAGACAGAGAGGATTGAGCAAGAGTTACAGCATAGAGCGTGCGCGACAGAGGAGAGGAGACTAACTGGAGAAAGGAATCGCAATTCGCAAGCGACAAGCAAAGAGATTGAAATCTTTGGATAAATGGATTGTCCTGTTGCTTCTAGTGTTATGTAAATTGGGTTGTAAATTCGGTTGGGCAATTAGGTTTAGGAATATTAGATTGACAAAAAAAATTGGGTTGGGTTGACAATTGGGTTTGGAAAAATTGAAAATAAAATGAGTTGTGAAATTTAAATTATGTTGGTATTAAGTTAGCTAATTAGATTGTATAAGTAAAAATTAATTGTTAATATATATACAAAATATATATATAAATAAATTTATATTTTTTTTATTTTATCTGGATTCTTATGGTTCCTCACGGGGTAGAGAAAATTCCCTGTAAAATTTCACAGGAAAAAATTTACCTCCATCCCCACCTCATGGAGAGAAATATTATTAAAATATCTATCTCCGTGGTGGGGATCCATAAAGTTCTGCAGACCACGGAGAAAATTGCCATCCCTAGTTCTGCACTTTGATTTTAGCTTTGAGTTCGCTGGCTAACTTTAATTTGTTGCCCCCTAAATAAACTTATAATGTAATTGCCTTAATTAAAAAAAAGTTATTTTAATGTAATGAAATATAATTTGGTTAGTGCAATTCTTCATTTAATTTTATATTGATTTATTAGAGTTTATAATTTAATTTTAATT